TTAGTAGAAATACACAAACACAGCTGTTAATGGCTTAATTCTCTTCAGTAACCATCCACAATGTTATCTTATGGAATTAAATATAACAATAGAAGTCAGATTTTTCCCCATAAGGAAGTGTTTTAAAAAGTTATCAAGATTTATCTGGAAGGCCAGGTTTTTAATAAAAATTAAAAAATAAAGTTGAAAAAGTATAAGCCTGAAAATCAAACAAAGACAGAAAATGCTGTCACATGTTCAGTACTCAGTTTTTTCAAGTTTAGTGATAGACCTAATGAAAATTTGGCATAAGTTCAGTTCATTCTGATTTTGACTCCTTCAGATTTCAGAGAATCAGTGGAGAAATTTGTGTTTTCACTTTAGCTGGATTTGATTTCCTGTTACGTTAAACCATTCCTTCATTGTGTTCCATCTACTTACAAAAATACAAACTCTTGAGGAATTACAGCAGTGTTCAGGAAAATATTCTTGCCTTACTAAAATCAAGAATTGATTGCAGAGCTGTGAGATAGCTCGGCAGTCTGTGCGCTAGGACCTGGGTTTGTGGATCCCCAATTCCCAGCACCACATGTTGTATGGGTCCCAAAACCTGGTGTGGTGGTGCATAACTGTAATCTCAGCACTGGGGAGGCTGGAACAGGAGGATCACTATGAGTCTGAGCTGCATAGTGAGACCCTGTACCAAATAAATAAATAAAATAAAAATAATTGATTGCAAAGTGTGTGTGACTTGGAAAATGTGATGCTTCCAGTTCTGGTCTGTAATGGAAATGACCACATAGATGAATATGTTTTTCAGGTTGAGTGATCTGTTGAAAAATGTGGGCAAGGCCTAACAATGGAGATCTATCAACAGAAAGAAGGAACTTTCAAATCTTTACTAGACAGTTGGGAAATTTATAGAGAAATTTTACTTTAGCTTATTTTCTTCATAGTTTTTATGTTTGAGAATTACCTACTATTGCTATCTTGAAATTATAAAGAGTAAGACAAAGGAGATGAAAGACTAATCTTTTTTCAGTGTTATTTGAGCCTGTAAGAGGTGCTTAGAATTTCAGTAATACTTATTTGCATGCTGTATTATTTATCAGTAGCTTCCTTCTCTGACATTAACTTGTTTCTGTGGTTAATTCATTGGTTTTATAATAATGCAACTGTCCATCAATAAAATAATGCTTTAAGTATATAAAATATTTATAGATAATATTAAATTCATTTTGAGGCAGATGTATTTGAGAACACTGCCATTTCATTAGCCCTAACACCTGTAGAAAGTTGAAGTATTTACATCTTTGTGTGAACCTCCCAAGTAATATGTTTAGTTCAGATTAACAAGAAATAATAATTATCTTTCTTCCAGTATATTCTTTTTATTATACAGAATATTGGCTCTTATTGTGACATTTTTATACATGCTGTTATGGTTTGTGTCTAGATGTCCCCCAAAGCTCCATGAAATCATGAGGTGGCCTTCCAGAGTTTTTGATTGATTCATGGTCCAGTGCCTAAGGTTACAGATGTGAGTGCTGCCACACACTCTGGGGCAGGTAGCCTGTATACAATCTAAGAGAGAAGAGGTTTGCTCTGTTCCTCCCTTATTGTTCTTTTTGCTTTTGGTATTTTCCCACTGCCGTGAACTGTTGCCTTCTGCTACGTGCCACCCTGCCTTAGAGCCAGCCAGCGTGGACTGAAACCTCCACAAACTGTGAGCCAAATAAACCTTTTCCTTTCTGAATTTTGGGCATTATGTATCTTGTCCCAGCAGTGAGAGAAAAGTAACCAAGACACATGCACATAGCATACTTTGGCCATATCCATATCCATTCCCTTATTACTCTCCCTTTCTCTCCACCTTCCCCCTGTTATGGGTCACTCAGAATAGGAACCAGATCAACCAGATTGGAATTTGGAAAGCTGTTTATTACTGAGCTCAGCGCGCCCCCCCCCCACTTCCCCACCCATCTGCTCTTACGGAGGAGAGGACCGAAAGGCAGCAGCCCAGGAAGCAGGAAGGGGTTTTAAACCCTCGAATCACATTGAGTTTGATAAGCAAATTCATTGAATTACCACATTTAGTTTGGTAAACAAATTC